ATCGTGTTTGAATTTTTCTAGATTTTAAAAATATTTTATATGTAAAAACTTCAAATTTACTTCTCTTTTTATTTGTAATGACCGTAAAAGTATTTCTTTTATTAAGCAAATAGTTGCGATTTATTTTGTATTTCCAACGATTCGTGTGTACTATAATGCAGCAACGGTTCCGTGATTTACAATAAATCGAACTTTCACGCTTGCGAATTTGCATAGCACACTAAGTGCTAACGGCTTGTAAATCAATCACGTAAGTGGCAACAAAATGAAATTATTTAAGACGAAACGAGCACGTAAACTTTTGCGTCAGCTCATTATAAAAAAAGAATCTTTTCTTCCGGTTAGAGTTCAGATTTTCCGACGCAAATTACCGTAATCGTGATTTGAGATTTAATTTAAATCGTTTTGATCTTTGTACTTCCGCAAGAAAATTAATTTATTAAATTCATAATATATCTTGTGCGAATTCTTCGTAGAAAATAAGTAGTATTTTGCTCATCAACATTATCTATGGTTTCTTAATGTCAAGTATGTTATTACATTACACACACACACATATTTTTTATTTGAATCTCATTTAAGAACTTATTTAACATATTTTGATACATCGGACGACCAAAATACAGAGTTCAGCTAATAATGATAAACGTTCAATATTGGTAGTCCGATATGCAACGGTTAAATTACTTATCAGGAAGTTGCTGTTTAAGACCCCGTAAGAGTAAAAAAAAAAAAAAGAAACGGAAAAAATACGAGGAAGTATAAATCAATCAACTTTTGTAAAAATAGAAATCGTGTGTAAGCAAGTTCGAATTGATTTAAAAGTTCGATATTGGCAGCTCTACGGTGATATTAAAATAGCGAGCACACGAGACTATTTGCAAAAAAACGAACAAAAATAAAAACATGAAGAAACAGACGACAAACAAGAAATAAAGTAAAACTTGTATTATTTACAAAGTTATTCTTAGCATAAAATGTAAAAATAAGTATTGAACGCACAATCTCAATAAAATACATATCCACACACACATTTACAAATTCTATAATAATAACGGATAAATTTGTTCGCAAAAAGAAAATACAAAATTTATTCTGCCAGAATTTGGCGATTTCAACGCTCGACAAAATAATCACTCTTTGACGTATCTACGTACATAAATAAAAAATAAAATTGATTCAATTTTATTTAATCATCATTTAATAAATTTTATTTAATTTACATTTAATGCAAATTGATTGATTTTGAAACAATTAAGATTTGAGCAGATGCGAGCGAAAAATACAAGATGTCCATGTGTGTATTTTTTAATGACTACTAAACAAAACCTACAGACATTTCAATCATATTGTACTATTGTCGGTACAATTTGTAAACTTATGTTGTGGTGTGTTAGTTGTCTTCTGATGTTTGCTATGGAGCAACGAAATAATACTTTACATTATGAGTATGCTGTACAATCATCCTACTATAATCTTAATATATTTTAATATATATTAATGTAGGATTTTTCAAAGTTTGATTGTAATTAAAATAAATAAATAAATTATTTGGTTTAATATTCTGAGTTTAATTGAGCAAATATAAAACTGGTACAATTAATGATTGGGGAAGCGCGTAATCTTTTCGGGCGTCTTTTCTCTTATCGGAGGGTGCGGACCTTCTATTCACTTCTCATCTTTGCATCTTCAACGTTGATTATTGTTATTTTTGCTGTTTAAATTTGTGTGTTGACTCAACAGACGATCAGTATACATCGAGAAACGGAAAGAGGAAAATATCATCAGAATGGTCGCACAAATAAATAATCTCATGTTATGAAAATTCTCAGCCGTTAAATAAGAATATTTAACAGAAATATACAATATATAATAATTTCGGTTCTCACATTAATATATTTCATTTTAGTATATTTTATTTTTGTTCGATAAAAATCCAAATGAAAAGATTGTCTGTAGTTTTTTTTTTGTATTCAATAAAAAACAAACACACGGACACCTTGTATTTTTGCTATTTATCTGCCCAAATACCTTGTTTTATCATCTCACAAGTTTATATTCAATTGTGATTGATTTTAATCTAAATTAAATCGATTTCTCATCGCTTCTTTTCCGGAATTAGAATTACAATCAAATAATGAGTCTCTTAAACTACGATTTAAATTTATTCGATACTATAAGTAGACACAATTGATTAATTTGTCGAAAGCAATTTGGTAATGAGTTTATCTCAATTCTTTAACACTCCGAGAACCACATTGATGACGAACATAACGAGCGCTCACGTTCGACAGACGTCCGGAACAGTATGAGAGGACACGAATTGCAGGCATTCGCCACGCTCTCTCTTTCTCTCTCGAGCCGCGATTTGTCCGCCCAATTTGACGGTCTTTTCGGGAAAAATGGGAAATCTCTCCTCTCGGCAACGAGTGTGGGAAATAGACCGCGTTATTCTTCCGCGGTTGACTCGGCGACACGCCCATGGCGCGAACGCGCTGCGCGGATTAAAACGTTCTTCCAGTCTTACAGTTTAGGGACAGCAAACGGTTTAGTACCGTCGTAATAATTAAAAGAGATTATATAGTTTTTAATTTGATTATATGTTATATCCGCGTGTCGATGAAAGATTCACAATGAATAAATCGAGTAGACGTAACACAATGAGTTAGAATACCGTTTTGATGTAATCAGCTTTCCCGTTTAATTGATTAGTGTATGTGGTGCGAGAAAAAATTTAAATTTGGTTTTTAAAATATAGCAAAAATAAAAATTTATAGTTTTAGAATATGGCGCATATTCCCTAAAACGGAAGCGGCCTCTGTCATATATCGTTGGTATTTTATGCAATTAATAAAAAATATATATATACATATATATTGCTAAAAATATAAACTCTGACTTTTTAAGCAACTATTTAATTTTATATAGTTTTACATATTTAGAAAGAATATTTAAATCTCTGTGCACATATTGCACATAGTCAGATATAGATTATTTCAAATTTTCTGCGAGCCAATTTAACAATTGTCACGAGTAAACAGGATGTGTAGAAATCAAATCACATTGAACTATATATAACTTCTATAAAAATACTTGAAGTCATCATTATTAAAACAAATTTGAATTCAAACATAAATTCATGATATCGAATCCAAAAATGTGTGTTCTCGCTGTCTTCTGTCTCTCGGTGATCTAATGCGATTCCCTTTTCAATCCCTTGCGACGACGTGGAGGACGCAACCGGGGCCGCAATCTCGCCTTCCGGAGCGCGACCGCGGCACGATTATTAGTTTTCCGTCTCTCCCGGAAGCCGTCGTTCTCATCGACCGCAAAGGACGCGGTAACGTCGTACGTTCGTCGTACGTTACCACGCTCTATATAGGGGAAAGTTGCTCTTTCCGCGTCCTCCGGGTAGGCGTGGCGGCGTCGGGAGAGATGATTTATCCCTCGCGCGAGGCGCAGTAACTGCCGAGATCGCCGGCTAAACGACCACGTCGGTCCTTTTCGTATATTAACCGTAATGCACTCTGCCTCGCTATTGTGTACACTGTATACAACCCCCAAGATCTACCCCCTCTCCCCTCTACACCACTCCGTGCGCCCCTTTCGAACTCCCTTCAACCACCCTGTCGACCTTTTGCGTTTCTCCACGTCGTCTCTCATCTTCTCTCTACACCTTTTCTACTATCTTACAGAATGTTTTGTATTATTTGTGCGGAAAATATTTATGAAGAAAGATCCTCGCTAATTGTAAGAGAGTGATTAAGTATTTCCTACGTTAGTTTCTTATTATTATTGCCTATTTTTATACGATATTTATAATGTAGTTTTTTCTTTCGGAACTAAATTTAGTTTGCTAGTAGACACTTCAAATCTAAGAATACGTAATCGTATTATTTCAAAATAGAAAAATAAAATATATAAGAGGATAATGAAATAATTTAAAAAAATGATCTTCTCTCTCATTGTTTTTACAACCTCAATGATATCTTACTTTCTGTTACTTACCTGAAGAAGAAATCACCTGTCATCAATTATAGCAAAAGACTCGCGTATTTCCATTCCGCTTGGAAAGTCACGGCTGTTCCGAGTCAAAAGAGTCCAAATCGAATTAGCCGGCTGACACATTGACGCGCTTTGCATCGTCGTGCAGTTGCCAGTCGAACCCGGCATATGGGGTCACGCCTACGAAGTTGAAGGAGAGAAAGAGGGGACCCCTGTTCTCTCGGATCCCTTTCAGAGGCTCGGGGCCCGCACGCGCCGCAGCCTGCGAAAATGCGCAATCCACCGATTTGGGACGACAACGTGATCCCGTGGGAGCACCCGATGACGATGAGTCGATCCGGCTCGGCCCCTCGAGAACCGCGACTAAATTGTCAAAACAAGCCGATTGCAGCAGCCCTCGATTAGCGATCTCGTTGATCAAGTCGAAAATCGGTACGCGCGAACTAGTCGGGAGCGTGCGAATACGAAATCAAAGACTCCGGAAGGGATTCTCGAAAGGGCGAAATCTACTAATTTTGCGTTCCAATATGGCAACGTACGAAAAAATTAACTATCTTTAAAATTAATTTTTAATTAACTGTCTTTAAAATTAATTTTTAATTAACTGTCTTTAAAATTAATGTTTAAGTAACTGTCTTTAAAATCAATGTTTTAATTTGTTACTATATTAGGTGTACTTCTAACAAGACTAGTTATCTTTACTATATCCATCTATATCCAATCTTCCTTTGAGTTTGAATTTAATGTATTCTCTTTTTCCACTCTTATTGCAATAATGCAGTTCGTGTAAACCTCTTTCTCATAAATATTTCCGTTAGTATAAAACAATCGCACACAATGCACTTTTTGAGCTCTAGTTATCCTTCCAGAGATCACAATCCTGTGAGCTTGCGGTATATGGGAAGACACAAACGATATATATTTCGGATTACAGTCGCACATTTTATTGCCGACACGATATTACAACGTATGCAATAAATCTATAGCTCGACATTTTTTTATGCGCGCTTCCGCCTCGTTGTAGCGTTTTGTCGGTGTAATACAGCTGCGATGATCGCACGGCCGATCGATACGCGATATTGCCGCCACGTAATAGTTGTTCGTCGGGCTGAAACCCACCGCTTAACGTAAACTATCTACAAGTACGAGCTACACACCGTGTTTATGCGGAGTTACTGTCTAGTGCTGGTGTGTACGTATATTTACAGTTCTTCTAGGACTTGCTATTTACAATGAGCGCGGCAAAAGTCGAATCGAACGCCCGGACTACGAGCTTTATCCCGAGCCAAGTGTTTTATGTCTTCAGAGAATTAATTTATTATTTCCTATATCATCGATGTCTTTCTGTATCGAAATATTTAAAAATCGGCGATGACATTTGCGATTCAGATAAATTAGTAAATTGCCAAAAGTAGTGTACAATCTGACACAATTAAATAACGAGCCATACTTTCTTACTTCTCCGACGAACCCAAGTGATCGACTCGACTTTAATCTACCTCTATTTCTTCCTTTCGCGCCCCGCAATACCAGACATCCAAGTTCATCATCCATGACGTACACTACCTCCCGGACGATCCGAGACCGGCTCGATGCGCTGGCACAGCAAATGCTCTCAAACCACTCCCGACCCCGATTTCCACCCCCATTCCGGCGCCCAGAGGCGGTTGCACCTGGCTGGGCAGATTTACAGACGAGTTCACTAGTCCTAGAGTATCACCCAACACTGAAGACACCGCACCCGAAGAGCCACCCTCACTCGAAGGTTGCGTCGGTCTTGCGCGCGGCGCTCTCGCGCACTTCTCCAGGTGGTGATGATGAGAACGAACCGCCAAACGACTCACGTGCACCGGTATAGGCACCACAATCCTGGTACCGGATGTGTGTTGGCCCGTTGCGCCGTTGTGACGACCAGTAGCCCCGGTGGGTGCCATAGTCGCTCCCGTCGAACCGACGCCTACGCTGCCTCCGCTCAGCCCGGCTTTCACCCTTTTCCACTTGGCGCGTCGATTCTGAAACCAGATCTTCACCTGCGCCAAAGGTGAAGGTATATCGAAGTGAAGATATAAAAAACGCCCTAATAATTTGTGCGTATAAATTTTATTTTTCTATTAAATAAAAAAGAACTTCAAAAACAACATTTAAATTTGAATTAGAAAATATAATTTAATGTCTTTTGGTTTGGCTCTTTGTTTTGTGTCTGTACTGACCTGCACTTCGGAAAGTTTCAACGCGTGCGCTATGTGCGAGCGTTCGGTCAAGCTCAGGTACTTCTTTGCGTGAAACTCGCGTTCCAGCTCCAGCAGCTGCTCTGAAGTAAAGGCGGTGCGTCGTCGCCGAGCCTTGTTACCGCTAGCATTGGACGCTGACGAACTTTGTCCATTTTCTAAGGACCCACTGGGACTTGTGGCGACACTGCCCGCGCCACTGACGACACCGTCTGAAACATCGTGACCCTCGCCAGAACCCGCGACCCCGCCACCTTCTTCATCGCTCTCGGCTGATGCGCGACCGTTTTCGGATCCTGGAACAAACATATGCATGATCGTAAAGCACTTGTCCAGTAAAATTTCTTTTATTCAAACGCACAAAATATATAATAATTAAAATATAGATGAAAACTAGAAAAAATCTGAAATTAGTAAAATTAATATAATTTTTAAAAATTTGCATTATATTTTGAGATAGTATATATTTAATTATAATAAAATATATATTGTGTTCGATTGTTTATAATATAATACAGATTTTAAGCGCAAAGATGTATTTATAAATAAAAAAAATAGAGATAAATAAACCTCTCAAAAATAAATATATCTTAAAAGTTTTAATCGACATGTTATTTTACTCGATGTATTGAAAGTAACATTAAAGTTACGTTTCGGATGAAGTACAAAAAGAATAATCGAACAAAAGAAAATGTAAAATCTATTGTAGATTGAAAAAATACTATCTATTCCTGGTAGATACAAGAAGTTTATCGTCTAGAGTGAACTCTCACGACATTAAGTCATCAACGGAGTTTATCGCTATCGAGAAGTAACATCGCCGCGGTATGTATAGCCCGGTCGGCTATTTAATATGCGGAGCAGATTGGTTCGTTCCTTCATAAAAGTTGCCCTCTTCGATCGTCGGCGACGTTTTCCCGTAATTTCCCATGTACAATGTTTTTTTTTTCTTCATTCGCGAAACAGCTGGGCAGCAGCGACATGCAATATGTACCGAGATACAAAACAAAGTTACCGCGGAGTTTGATGACTCCGTCGGGTCTCATCATTTATTGAAAATTATTCCTACTACGCGGTTATATATCTCTGGCTTGAATAGCTCGCGTTCGGTTGATCGACGTTTCGACGATCGACTAGATGGAAACGGAAATTCGCGTCAACGAATGTCCGCCTGGGAATTATTCGACTAAAGGCTAACTTTACTATCGTCGATAATTAAAAGAGTTTTATATGGAAACAAAAGTATATATACAGTTATATACTCATTATAGATTTAAAAATATTCGAGAAGAATACTCCATAAATATGCTATGAAAAAATTATTTGTTATTGATTAGTTGAAATAATAATTGATATATCAACAGACGGCGTCTGTGGTAAAATGTTGATTTAAAAAACATATCATAAACTATAATGTCGCGTCCTATTTCAACTCGGATAAATTAAATAATAAATTTTTACACAAACATGCAATGTGTGTGTGTGTGTGTGCAATATATTTATAAGATTTCGGAAGAGTTAATATATAATATTTGTGATATCATTTTCCTCTCCGTTAATATTGCGCTTGACTCTGAGCAAAAGACCAATGACTTCTGCCTAAAAAGCCATTTATTTTTTTTTAAGTTTAAGAGTAGAAGAGAATAAACTTTCAAGAATCTTATATATTCGCCCAATGTTTGCACAGAGACATTAGATGAATTAGAGATTTTTGTTTTATATTTGCTTTAGACGTACAAGTCACATCCTAGGTCTCTCTCTGTGAATTTTCTCGGTGGATCGAGCAGAGAGCCGCGCAAGCTTTCTCAGAGCGCGATATGGTTCGCATGATCAAGAACCGGTCGTTACTACTTGCGCACATTATTTTCTGCTAAAGTTCGTTGTCAACGGTCAACGCGGCTATGGTCACAGCCTGACTTATTCATCATTCGCGTCTTTCTTATCCCGAAGTTAGCGAACTGATCGCGCACTTATAGTTGCGAGCGAGCGTAACTTTCCGCCGGCGCGGTTTGATGCACTCTCCAACTCGTTGACTTATTCAGGGGGTTTCGATTACGGTGAAGCGATACGCTTCCGCGAGCGTGCACGGGCGTTGTCCCCGGTTTCTCGTCTTTACACTTCAAATCGAACGCGCGAATCGATGCGCGCGAGAACGACGTCGTTATATCCTCGATTAGCGCGGGTCTTAGCGCAAGAGACCGTCTTAAACCGTTTTTTCTTTTAGCAGCGAATAGAGTTATTCGAGAAGTTTATAATCCGACGTTATAACCCGTTATTTGTGCAGTTATTATTTGGGTTAGAAAAAGCTATAACCCGAAACTTCGACATGACAATTGAAACTGATTGATTTTGCGCACGCTTGAAAGTTGCAATTTGACTATTGCAAGTCTGTGAGAGTAGGAAAGTAGATAAAAGCGACGCAAAGTCGTTGAGTCAAACAATTTATTGAGGGGGGTTATTGAAAAAAATTTTTTAGCGATTCAAGATTGTTTTACTAAAAATATTTGAGAAAAGAAATATTGTGTGTAAAAAAACTTTTACGCAGAAAATATCATTTTACTTGCTAAGTAAAAAAAAAACTAATCTAATAATATATTAATAACGATAAATATATTATTAGATTAGTGCGTTAAAACAGATTTGTAATATTTATTAGAAAACGAGATGAGACAAATTGTTCATTCACTATCGATCAGGTTGCAAATTTATCCGCCAATTATAAGAACACGCAACAGATTAATTAGGTCGCGGCATCCTTATCGATTGCCTAAGAAAAGCTGTAGATATATATCTATACATCCAACGTAATATTAAAACATCATCGATTCGTCATATATATATAATTGCCGAGAATAGACATACTCCAGAGCTCGTGTCTTATTTAATTGCTAACAAATGGCAATTATCAAAGCCTATTAATTATGGAACTGCCGGAAATGAAGTCACTTAAAAATCTCGATTACACCAATTCATCCTGATCACGCATTTTTATTTGTCTGTCAATTAAAATTGATTTAATTCTGAATGAAATAAATTGGGTTGTAAGAGCCGTTTGCAGGATATTATGCAGAGAATGTGTTTAATTATATATATATATGTATACACATATATAATTCGAAATAATTTTTTTCGCAATATTTTAAAATTAGTTAGGGGGGTATACGGGGTCCTTCATATATATGTGATGCAAATCCAGCATCCTATATGAAGGAAAAAAATTATTTCGAATTATATATGTGTATACATATATATATATATATATATAATTAACCCAATTTATTTCATTCATTAGTCTAAAGACTCCTGAGCCCGAAGAATCTTCTTCTTGTTTATTATTGATTTAATTCTGTTTATATTTTTATTCTAATCAGCTGTTATGTTCGAACTGTGATATTTCTCTTATCATAAAGAGACAATAATCTAACTTTATATTTCACCAGGATGATGTTCCACTTTTTTATTTTACAAATCTCGAACATGTACAAAGTATCTTTAAATATTTTTGCGATCGATCTTAAAACTTTTCAATTTATTTACAAACGCGACAAATGCACGGCAGCGAAATCAAACGAATTATCCGGCAGAAGTAAAACATCTCTCGCATAGAAAATCACATGATCGATCGGCGGAATTGTGCCAATCTCGGTATCGTCGTTACCAAGAGGCATCGTTCCTTTTTTTTTTTTTTTTTTTTTTTTGCGACAAGTGCGGCACGGTCCTTCACGGAGCAAGATGCGATCCTCCCATATCGTGTCGGACGCGCGGCGGACTATCCGCAATGAATAACGAAAATTCAGCAATCCAGGGGAAACTGCGAAAAAAGCGGAAAAAAAGTCTCGGGGTCGAGTGTCCTCGTTGGATCACAAGTACCCGAGTGACATGAAACGATTTATATGCATCTGTGTTCTTCGAAGACTGAAATGACTCTTGATTATAATATCGTAGCTGCTATTTTCAGGGGAAACAATTGGCATCGCGAATGCGTATATATGTAGATGGTAAAGAACTAACACAAAAACGTAAATTTAGAGCATTTTATAAATGTACATTGAGTTTGTATATCGCGCTTTTTTTTTTCACCTCGTATACTTTTAATTATATATTCTCTTTGTCTCTCTTCTGTTTCTTTGCTATTTTTACAACTTAGAAAATTATCCACGTGTCTTATAGCCACGCTAGATGATATGTGTCCGGTTCATCAAGCGTTAAAGAAGGCGGGCGAGATCCGCGACCTCGTTCGGGAATATAATTTGCTCGATCGCGCGATCCGATATGTGTATAGATAGCGCGCGGCGCGATCGATTGATGAGCCTCGTCGGAAGCAATTATCGGGATCAGGTCGGGAGGAAACGCTCGTTCGTCCGCTCGCGTATATGACTCCATGAGTGTATTTTTGGGTACACGACATGAAATTTCAATTGAGCTTATTAACGGTCGCTCCGCCAGTTTGTGCCGCACGATGACGTTGCCGGGCATCGCGACGATCGATATAGCAAAACGCTAGCTCATTGCTGCAACTCTTTCTTCTTCTATTGACAAGAAAGATTATATGTATAACAAAAAATTAAGATGTCAAATAAAGCTTCTACCTAAAGATATCAAAAAAGATATTGGTGCGAAATAAATAATATAATTTATTTATATTGCACAAAAATTGGCACAAAAAAAAACATAATTATTTTAATTGAAATAAATACTTTAAGTGGTTACAGCAACAAAAACAAAAAATTAAAATCTAACAGATTTCAAACGATAACAATACATAAAAAATTTGCTTATTTGAAGTTTTTAGATAGAATGATAAAGTTGGAGAAAAGTAATGTGACAAGAAAAGATGTGCAGTTTATTTTATTTAATTTGTATATACAGTAATCTTTACCTGTAAATGCCATCGCACAGAACAAGCATATAACTAACTTCACAAATATTTTTTAGAGCCATTGCACATAAAATCGCATAGCTGGATGTGCATAGCATAAGATCATTCGGACCAATAAACATTCAACATAGTTATACGATACTAATTTACATAAAACTATGCTTATTGATCCAAATGATTTTATGCTACGCATATATCTAGCTATGCGATTTTGTGTGTGCGATGACTCTAGAAATCAAGAAATATCTGTGAAGTTACACAGTAAAAAAGAAAATGTTAATTCTAATTTGAATCGACCTCCTGAAACATGTAAAAAATGTTAAAGTAATTCATTCGTCATGTGTTACATATATTGACAAACTAGTAATGTTAAGCAATTGACACTTTACACTTATATTTGTTATGTGCTTTGTAAAATGCATTTCTTACAAGTTATTGCAACTATTCTTCCATGTAGGGTTTCAATTATTTTGTATTATGTTATTTTATTTTTACATTACACTTAAAGTCAAAATAACAAATATAAATGTAAAGTGTTAATCCTCTAGGGGCCGAATTTTTTTCTTAAATATAACTTGCAAGGTATTTATTTTGACATTTCAGGTTAATGGTGCTGCCAACTGTCATCAATATTGTTATTGGTTATTTCAGAGGCATTATATAATTAAGACGTATACATCATCTTGTGAAAAAAACTAAAACTATTTGGTAAAATGTGGATATATTAGCTTGTGAGTTGAAAGTTACATGGGCCCATAGAGGGTTAATTACTTAACATTACTAGTTTGTCAATAAGTAACACATGACCAATGAGTTACTTTAACATTTTTTTTGACATGTTTCAGGAGGTCCACTCGAATTAAAATTAATATTTTACTCTTTACTAGGTAGTAGTTATGCTTAATATCGTCTTTCTAATTACGACGAAATAAAAATAACAACGTTTATTGTATGATTAAATACCTGTAGTTGTGTTGACTGCTGTGTCAATTGACCAAACAATTACGATACGCAATTTGTGTTTAGCCAATTTTATAAATTATATATTTACTAAAAATTGCGTCTCGAAACTATTTTTTATTATGTCAACAATGTTCGATTAATTACGTAACGCTTTATCGATTAACTTTTCTTATACTCGACTTTTATGTAATTAATGACACAGCTAATTGCTGAATCGTCGAGCAAATCGTCGCGGCGGTTATAGCTCAGGTTATACCGGTTGTATCGTTAATTCTGCAGCATATACGGGCATTATAAATATAACATACAACGAAGCACGACGTCGCGATGGTGCGGCGGCAGAATTGACGGCTTCCATTCACGACGACGCGACAGCCACTTTGTTACACATTACTGGTTTCGAAGCCGGTTTCTCATATAATCGCCTTCATCTCGGTCGTCGTCCCGATGGTTATGAATGACGAATGACGCGGGTCTAAAAGAACCTTTCGTCTCACATGCCAAATCGAAATATGATTCTTCCGTTCGTCCGATACGCTAATCGGCTTCCCGTCGCGGAATCGTCGAGCGCAATTAAAATTCAAGTGGCATTCGATGATTATCCTGCCCGCGTGCTTATTCAACGTCGTCAAATTAGATTCGAGCACGACGCGGAAACAAACAATTACAGCAATTATTTCGCAATTAGTTCGCGATATATTTCTGCTGTGGAGAATTAATATAAAAGATCGTTTTCAAAATACTTTTTATACAAAGTTCTCTTGAAAAATTGAAATAAGTCACGAATGCTCGCGTTTATTTTATCATAAAAATACAGCGAATTTACGAGTTGCGCTGTTCGCTTCATAACGTTATCATTTAGCAAAACAAGATAATTATTCGAATAACGAGTTGAAAAAAAAACCGATTCCTCCAATCTTTATAAAAAAATAATACTCTTTGTCGAAATATAACACCTCTTGCGAATAACTCGCAACTAGATATGGCAGCAATTTTTTAATTTGATTTTCCAAAAATGTCACTTAGCTTTATACCATATGACACGGTTTAATTCGAAAAGAATTGCTCGATCCATTGGCAAACCTATTATTCGTGACGAACGAAGCAAAAATCGGAGTTCTGTGAACGAACATTCTTGATTTCTCCGGAGCGACGACGAAAACGAATCATTTCGCGTCGCCGTGAATGAAACGCTGAATTTTGCATAGCCAGCTAAAAAGTTTGCTCATCTCTTGCGCATTCCTGATTCAAGCACCTGGCGTTCGGTATTCGCGTGCGATGAAAACGTCATTAACACACTTTCTGCCGTGTTTCATCTGGGCCAGTGGTTAATAATTTGGCTCGCTGAATATCGAGAAACTCGCTCTCGTTTCGAAGCACTCATCGTTAATCCACTTTACGACATATATATACGATACTCACCAGTTTAGTATTTTTACTTATAAGTATTGGAGATGAAAATCATACATTTATATGGATAGTTTGAGAATATTAAGTTTAAATTGAAGTTTAATCATATTTAACGTCCAATATGTTTAAACTATAATTTTACTTAAATATCCCGTGTATTGAATTATATGTACAATATTCATGCAAAGAAAAGTTAATATGTCATAAAGTAAAATCTACTGTGAAAATGTTTGAAAAACGATATATTATAATTGTATTAAAATTATAAATTTATTGCATAAAAAGTTACTTATATTTTTGTAAATGTGAAATTTAATTTGCAACAATTCGTTGCAAAGACACAACGATAATTGCAATCGAAAAGTTGGAAAGTCCTAGACATTGCAGGAGGAAGGGCTATTTTTAACACCTCGTCATTGGATAATAGCTTGAACAATCGATAAGATCTTCTTAGCTACGCCGTTGTGTATTTATGACGCATCGTCTCGATCGACGAATGCATTAAAATAACTGCTCGTTCGTAGACTGTATAAAAATTCATCGCTGATCGAGAATAAAATCGATTCCATGCGGAAATAGCATGCGCAATGCATACTTGACCGCGCTAAACAACGTGTTCTTTCTGTCAATCAATTTCTTACGTGTCAATCCAATCAATCTGTTAATTGTTTTAATTACTTTACACGCAAATTAAGTGTGATGTTCTTTTTTTTTTTAATCATATATTAAAAATAATAATTCTAACGAGATATTCATAATTTATTCACAATTGTGTATACACATTCACGAGAATATTACATTCTTATATAAAATATATATTTTCTCATCTTCTCATTACTTGAATTTACGAACTCTTCAAGTTTAGCGCCTCAATTTCGGGGACTCAATATCGGGATTATATTCGGAAATTCTAATCTTCTTGCTTCTATATATTTCCTCAATTTCTCTCGACAGGATCGGGATCTATACGTTTCGCGCATTGCGAGGACGCAATGCCCGCACGTAGGTGGATCGCGACGAATTCGTGGAACGTCGCGATCGCGCCTTGACGATCGACGCACCGGTTCGGCACGGTGCGTCATAAATGACCGATGACAGGTTCCTCGAAGCCATTTCGTCTCGCATACGAAATTGCCGCCAGTCGGCGGTACATCAATAAAAAGTGTGTCCGGCCACGAATAAATGCGCGCGCGCCTCTGTGTACACCATCGGAATTGTCCCCGCGGAAATACGTGATCGGCGATCACGTATCCTTCGACTTTCGGCGGCGCCCGATGGTGTGCTCGGATTCTCATTTGTAAAACACTGCGTGAAAATCTACGAAGGAAATATTTCTCGTATCTTTTAAACGTTATTACTTTTTCCTTATGAAATAATTTTAAGAACTATTTGTTTTAATTTTGTTTTACTATTTTTAGCGTTATCTTTTTATTCATTTTCATACTCGTCTTTGAAGAATACGAGATTGTGCGTAACGTGAATATTAATATCGTTTTCTTGCAAGCGCATTAAAAATAACATATATATATATATATATATATATATATATATATATATATTCTGATTGTGATATTGAAGATTTGCGCACACTTGTGTATACAAGTGACAAGATCGGGCTACGGGAGCACGATAATTTATGCACGCTACTGTATATCTCGATCCTTTGCGGCCGATCTGGTGACTGCGATCGTGACCGGAGAAGACGCGTCACCAGAATTCGTAATACGACGGCAGCCGGACTTGCCAATTTCTTTTTTTTTTTTCGCGATTGGATATCTAAATTTTTCTTTAGAGGTCATCTTTTCGGCGACAATTTATTTCTGCGCAGTTTAATAACAATATTTGATTATACGTACAGATTGAATCACAATCCAATAGTCTCTTTTTGAGACTAAAATTGTGTCAGAATGAAGATATTGCCTTGAACGAAGTAAATTTATCATGTCTAGTGAATTAACGGAAATTGGAAATTATACGATGAGAAACAGAATAAAAAATTTATTCGGTGATTGTTCGATCAGCTTCGGTGTTCTCCAAATTGGCGTAATAAACAGTTTGAATAAAAGGTGAACTTTTGTAGACATGTACATATATGAATATATAGCTATATATATATATGTATATATAATTGTATCTCAATTAATTAACCATTAAGTGGTTGTCATCTAAAAATTTAACACTTTGAATTTATCGATAGAAAACGGGACTCAACTAGTAGCACTTTGCATCTGCAACTGCATAACATAGTCATCGCAAACTTTGTCGCAAGCTGTGTTAGGTATATAGTTACGTGATAACGTGTTCGGTCTTCGGTATTCATTAGAATATATATTTTTCTACGAACGTGTAAAACATATTTTAAAAAATGCAAGTTTTACTTGTAATTCGTACTATATATATTCAACCAGACAAAACAAATTTTAGCTTTAAAAAAGTAGAAATAGTTTTTTATCTGTATAAAAATAGTCAGTTATTCCTCTCAAAACGCAACGGTTTTTACGAAATTTTCATATCTCACGCTTCGTATTTCACGATTATTTTCAAAAATACGAGAAAAGATGAACTGTGTCTCACCATGCCGCGACTTGGAGAGGTCGTGAGCTGGGGATGCTGGCGAGCCGACGCTGCCCTCCTCGTCTTCGCTATCTGTGAAACTGCTTGGGGCGCGTTGATTCGCGGTGCGACGGCAACCGTCAAGCGGATAGTATCCTTGTGTATGACCGGACGCCGGTGCGGTGGGATGCGGCAGTCGACTATGATGCAACTCGGAGTGAGCGGGGTAGCTCGCGGAGGGATGCTGCGGCGGCAGCATCGGAACACCGGATGCGCCGCTGCCACCGTACATCCGCATCGGTAGCCAGGCGCTATACAAACCGAGCGGCACGCCAAATCCTGCACAAATTCATTATCGATTCGATACAATAGTAATTTGAGAAATTAGTCGACGTATTATATATAATTATATAATATTAATTTTAAATAATCGGAAAATAATCGGTAAATTTCGAATAATTGAGAAAAATAAATTAACTAAATATTTTTATTTAACGTAAACTGATTCAACTTTTGATGTAAGATTTTTGACAAACGATTTTGTTCTGGACGATATATGTATATCTTGTCATCCAATTACCTTTAAATTATTTATCTTAATATGATAATCTAGTTTGAGATCCGACTAACTATTTCAATTTTGCTCAATTGCTTTAATTTATAACTAAAAATGCTTACTATAAATACGTGCCTTTCAAAGTAATTTTATACAATTATTGAAAATGTATTAGACATCTTTAATATCCTTAAATTTCAACTTGAATGCGACAGTTTTAAATATTTTAAATATTTATTTATAATATATGTATTTTTCATTTTGTTTTTTATTTGTTTGTATTCTTCTTTTCAATCAAAACTAAGCCGGTTAATTTAATGTAAAATTTTAGAACAAGAGAGATATATGTATAGTTAGATATTCCACTAACTCTTTTTATTGATCTTTTTTTTATATCCACTATTGTTGAGCTGAATGAAACTGAAAAATGAATCAAAGTTTGTATTTCATTTCCTTTCGTTCATTCGGTCTCACCATATAACATCTCTTTGCTTAAATGCTTATTTTTATTGCTATTTTCTTAACATATATGCTAATATTAGATTCTTTCACGTCCATCGTTATTATTCTAACTTTTATGTCTTTTAACCTTTTCTTTTCGAAATTAATACAATATCAATAAAAAATAGAAGACAATTTAAAATGTCATCATTACAAATATTTCAGCGTTTATCAATTTGACGTGATTTTTTTCTCAACGACATATATGACACACGACGACGAAGAGTGGTCGATTCTTTCTAAATAAAAGTCCGCTATTCGCTAATATTTTCGATATTTTTTTATGAACTTCGTAACATGTGCCAATCCTGTCTTTTGTGTTGCCATGAAAATTTTGACATGTATACATATGTCAGCTGCACATAAACTTCGCGTTTACGAAGTAACGTTTAACAACACAGCTATGAGTTAACCACATTATACCGCAATGAGTTGAACACATAAGACGCAGAAAAAACGGTCGGTATCGAAGGCCTCAATTACGTGCATACCCATGATCGTAAATTATAGTCCGCGAAACGTCGCAAGCACCTGGCATCTTTTCACGTTTTGGAGCATTGCTTAGACATTCCGGCGCCTTTTTATTCGCTAGAGCTTAACTTCTTTATGTACAACGATCGTTTCTTCTATTTACTCCAATTAATCTTTCTCCTATTTGCTCCAATTAATGTTATAAGGTTTACAATAGTAATTATATGTCAGAAAGTTAACTAAACCGACTTCTAAGAACATATTCATTACCTCGTTTAATCAACGTGCAAGACAACAAATATAGATACAATAAATTTTTAATAGAGTCTGTGTTAGAAATTTTCAATAAAATAATAATTTAGAGAGGAAAACGGGGATATACGTGATGCAAGTACGGCAACCTATATAACTTTAGAAATTGAAATTTCGTTTCAAATTCACGTTTAAAAATTTACACGTGAAGTATAATTTAAAAAAATATATATATATATATTTATTTATTACGCAATTAACATTCAGCGTAAGGCTCCTAGGATCTTTCAAAACTTTTCATAGTTTATTAAAATAATATTTGACGATATTGAGACTCTAAGCTAATATATGTCATATTTTCTTTCGAAAGGTGAAATTTACTGGCTAAATATGAAGATTCAATGAGAATTGCATTATATTGCGATTGACCGATTTGAACAAGTGCTGTCATTGTTTATTGTGTCTAATATATAGAGTCGATCGTTCGACAGCAAAAAGAGAATAGGCAAAAGAGAATAGGCATTATTTTTTAGTTCTGTCACAAGTCGATAATTTAAACTGTGATAGTTTAATTTATATATATATATATTCATTAAAGAGTCACTCTTATTGAACTGTACGTCTGTTCATGTCTTGACCGCATAAAAATCTCTTCACAAACATAAAGAAAAGTTTTGTCAATATTAAAGATTTCTATATAAAATCAGTTACTGATTTTAGAAAATCACATGTACAGATATAACACAAGTTATCACATACTGAGTGAATTTCAAACGCGACAAATTTCACGACAGATGCTGCACTTTCAACACGTTCTCTTCGTTGTACAGAAATATCGATTCTTTCATTCTTACGTATCTGTAGTCGTTGTATTTTAAGCTGCGGTTGCCACTTACTTTTTGCACACGTTTACATATGTCGACAAATCCTTATAAAATAATTTATAATCAATATAGATTTCCACATCATTTGTTATTTTTCTGTCTAAAGACAATAATTAACAAAAATACTAGTCAAGGTAGAGACCTATTTTAATATGCGTATATTTCTTATTTCAAGTTTTCGTTGCAAAATCTGCTGTTTGCTCCGACACTTGTAACAAGTCGTCAAAAAATTGAGTATCTACTTCATTTAATTGTTGTAACACTTGTGAGAATAAAATTCTCGAATTAAATTTCCATTTCCATTCAAACAACTTTGTGACAGCAGTTGAAAATAAAGAAATAATATATATACTATAGAACGTATCACACAAAACAATAAAAATTACTAAAACGTTTCAATTTTGTAATAGAACTTTTCTCAGCCAAAAGTTCGTGACAGTTTATGTTAATCGCAATTTTAAATACGAGAGAGAGATTCACCTGAAGGTAGCGTGCTTGCTGCGGCGGTCGCTAAATAATGCCTCTGATACAGCTGATATTCCCTGTCTCTGTGTTCTTCCTCCTCACTGCCGTTGATTCGATCGTCCCGCGTGATGCCGCCGCCGGTGTCACGGTCCTCGCGCGCGTTACCGATCAAACTCTCGATCGTGAAAGGCCGCGGCGTCGGGCGTCGCGTGATCTTCGGCTCCACCACCGACGATTCCAGCTCGTCACTCGCTGAGCCGACATCAAGCTCAGTTTCCTCCACGCTCACTTCCATAATGACTTTTCGAACCTGACGAACCAATGTCTTCTTCGAAACCAAACAAATTTTCGATTTTGATCTGCTCTTATATGTTGAACATAAATCTCTTCTCTTTCGCGCACAAAACTCGTTGATTGTCGACTCGAAGATTCAGTTATTTAAAGCGTCGTGAAATAATAGGTTATTATTTTATTTCCGTTCTCTTCTTAATTCTCTTGAATGAGAAATTCGATAATTGACTTATATATTTATACCTATGTCAGAGTTTAGTGAGATTTGGAACGTCGAAGTGACTTTACTTAAAATCGTCGGAGATTTAGAAATTATTTCTCTTATTTCATGTGGTTTTGTGTTGCAATGGTTGTGAATGATACTCGATACATTGTTGGGGATTTTTTTGTGCAAAGAATTATTTTTGGTCTATTACCCCACGTTATATATGTTATCATATTAAAACATTTAGTCTTTTAATATTTGGCTCTTTTAATAAACACGTCAATAAATATCAATTGATGTATTTTGGCATTAATAGTCATAATATGTTGCAGTTGATATAAATAAGTAAAACGTTTATTGTACAGCTCGAAGTAATTATTTCCTGAGATTCACGATCCTCTACGGAACACTAGTAATTTAAAAATTAAAAAAGATAAATGTCACAGTTTTTTGTAATACAATTTCAGTATATAACGATTTATATGTACTGATCAAAGCTGTAATTAAAAAACTTTAACAAGCGCAACACAATTATATATTTACGAATGTGATAGCTATTAAGTACTTGCGGTTAGTTAATGATCACAAAGTGGCTATCACTAAACGGAGTAATAATTAAAGATGGTCAAAGTACGAAGACACAGTTTTCAATTTGTGCACGTGTTACGAACAATATCTATAAATAATCAAGCTTGTCTGGGGCAATAATAAAATATGAAAGACCATTATCGGATTCTTGTTAGATTCGCGCCGCGGATAATCATCGTCAACAATCACGATAAGGATTAAATAAAACAATTGTCTGTTATCTGGAGAGTCTGACAGATCTCATCAGTAAACACGACGTTTTCCGTGGAAAACAGGACGTAAATTATAATACTCGACGAGAATTTCTGCAATTGCCGATGCATAACTAGTCTCTCTTAAATTGTTCTGTCATTTTTTAATAATGTGACAACTTTAACAGTTCACATTTGACAACGCAATGACCGTCGCACACGCGTTCAACTGTATACTACGGATGAACTATACCGAGCAGCGACCATATGTCACACAGGTCAACGAGCGACTGCCGAGGACATCGAGCGAGATATTTTAATTCGCGGCTCCTCGGCATGCGCTCTTCCGGAGTGGTTGATGGCGTGGTGCCGACCTTCGTCGGGCGCTGATTGGTCGCGCGCGGACCAACAGCGTCGTCCGGCCGCGCCTATCACCGGCTGACCCACCATCTTGGTGCTAGGCTTTGATCCGAGCTGCGTGAATTCGAATGCTTCGAGATTGGAAGCGGTGGACAGTTCGGGACGGTCGTGGTGTGGGAGATTCATTTTTAAATGTCACGTGACAGTGCGGATAGTATAATTAAGATTTCTTGACTAAACAAGCTTCAGTAAAAGGTCACGAAACTCGTGAGTGAGTACCTATAGTTCAGGTGGAACTCTCGAGAATAGTTATTAAAAGCTGGCGAAACTTTTGAGAGAGCGATTTTGAAAATGACAAGATTTTGATAACAGAGAGTGAGATTACGTGAAATTTAAATATGCAGTTTATATCATTGCAAATTTATATGTATGTACATGAACTTCTTCTGTTACATATGATGTTGCAATAATTGTAGTATGTAAAATTTAATTTTCTTCAACAAAATGAATAATTCAACAAATGAATAATTCAAGATAACAAATAATCTGTTGTCAGTAGTTCAGACAGAGCATTATTCTTTTCTCTTTATTATTATTTCTTTAGTAGTTTATCCTTGTCAATTTTTTATTTATAAACAACGCAAGAATGAACTGTGGTATTTATTTTATAACGTTTTGGCAATGCAAACTGATTACTTTACTGAGCCCCAAACACATGTATACAGAAATTATAAAATATTGTTGATTTTTATTATTGAATTATAAAATATTATTGTTTAAGACAAAAACAGAAAATTGCGCTGGATTTATTTTGAAAGAGTAAATAATTAAATGAGATGTATGCACAATAAAATTTGACACAAATCCTGCATACTGTTAAACATTATCTTGAGATGACGAGTGGCTGATAAATCAGTTTTAAAGCTCCAAGATCCTTGACAGGTAATTGAGACTAATTGAGTTCTCTCAGAAACATGAAGCGATCGACGTTAACGAGCTTTCTCCTGTCTATTTTGTATCCCTCAACGTGTTCCCCATTAAGTTATCCACCTCCACAGGATGTTTCCTTAACGAGCGTACTCATCAAGGCTGATATCTTGCTCGATTTGTTCGCGAAGATATCGACATATTTGGCACATCTACTATTTGTCACTATTACTTAATAACGTCTTTGCTAGTGACTTTAATTGCTAGATTGATTATATAATTGCTGTTAGATTGTAAGGTAATTATTGCGCGACACAATAAGTTAGAAGCGCGGTATCTATATGTTAATTTATATGCGTATTATATTTATATGCTTTTCTCGTATACTTCTTGATATGTCACACTCACGATTACGTCATAAGTGATTTCAACCTTATAATCGATTGCTATAATGACACTATTTCGATACTCGTTAGTGTGCCGTCACTCTAATTGGATCGTAAAATATACATAATCTAATCTATACATCGCAAGTATGGTTGAAAACATTTTATACATACATATATATATATAATGTGAATTCATTTATTAAAATATAATCCAAAATTCTAAATAATAAGCTTCTAAAAATTCTTACAACCACTTTAATAATTTCAATAAATATTTTTGATATTTTACATCTCATATGTAATCTAACCCTCTAAATCTTTCCTTTGAGTAAAGAAATCATTGCGAAAAAAATATATCACTTCGATGAGAAGTGGGGCCTGTGGAACTTTGCTTTTAAATAATTTATTGTGCAATATCATATTCTCCGCGCAAAAGAAACGTTGTTTTTAACTCACAAATAAATTTGTATGATCTTGTTTCGGCGATTTTTTCTGGTTGAAAATTTTTTCTCTAAAAATATCGCACGATTATTAATACTCTTTCACGAATTCAAACACAACGGATGTAGTTTTACGAGCTGTCGTCGGAGAAGTTTATAGGAAACATTTGCACTTATTTGCGCGGGCAGAAAAGAGGAAATGAGTATTGACAGAGCTGAAAAGAAGAATCGCGTACAAAGTTTGACAAAGTGGCACTTAACGCCTTGTAAAATTAGAGAAACGACACAGAGGCAAGAAAAGAGACGACAATATTACGCCAGCGATGAAAACTGTTTGAACGCGGTCTGACAGTCGATCTTTTCTGATGTCAAATTACAAGAAAAAATAAAGTTTTTGTCCAAAATAAATCATTTGACAAACTCTTTTTATAAATCACAATTTCCGCAATGCAACTAAATATTAAATGTTTGTGCAAGGAATACTAAATATGCTGTAGAAAAATATTTATTGCGCGATATTTTATTACATTGTATCACATCAATGTAATACCAAATAAATAAAAACAGGGTAGTTCTGCAAAGACGAGATAGTTTTAAAAACATATACTCTTTGTCCAACATGTCATCTTCAACCGAAGAACTAGCGACTATAAATTCCAGCTGTGTACTAAGGAGTGGCAATCGGCCAGACGAGTTTCGCCCTACAAGTCACTGACAAATTGGGGTCCGACCGTGTCGCGCGGTAGAAAATGCAAGGCACGCGCCAGGTTCAGCACTTCACGTAAAGAATTTTCTTTTTTTCACAGATAATAAGTAAATAGACAATCATATATATATATATATATATATATATATATATGTATATATATGTATATGTATCAATATGTGTATCAATATAAAAATTTTATCTAAAATTTCAAGAGTTATATAATTGTTTTTATAAAAAAGTTTGACACATTGAATTATAATAATAATCCTCAGAATTGAAAAATGTAGAAAAACCAATAGGAGCAGGAACACAGATGACTGTGTCTATGATTCTTTTACCACGTATATATATATAAGCCGTGACAAACGTTTTAACCACAGGTTGTGGTCTTTTTCAATGAGATAACGTTACATGAAAGTATTTCAATAATAATAATAATAGTCACACTTGTAAAATTAGTTCGTTGAGAAGTTTCAATAGTTAAGGTCAAAGAAATTTGTCAAAAGTGTTGTTATGTCGAAACAAAATACACGTTATGAAAATAAAATTATAAATAAATTGAATTACTCATTACGGACAATAAGTAAATGTGACTTCAACTTCACAGATTCAATGTGGAAGTTCCAGTTTCACAGAAATAAAAAATTTGAAGCAACTTAAACGTTTAGTTTAATTACCGCAACATTTGGAGCAACTTTACCTTTTAGTTTTATAATAATCTTTTTATCGTTGTATAATTGAAGTCCCTTGAGTCTCACTCATATTCTTTGCATCGAGCCATGCAGAATTTCCGTTATATATCGAGTCGAAGTTACAAAGATTTCAGCTTACATTGTGCGCGAGCGTCGTACAACGCAAATAGAGAAAAATATCTAGCTTCGGAGTAATAAGCCGCGAACCGCCATGTGCGCAACTGCTGGTCGCGCGCAGAGAACATAGAACAGGAGAGTTTGAATGCTCAGACGGCTTTAAATCTCGTCCCGCTGCTCGTTTCGCTTCGCAGAGCGAAGTCGACGTCGGCGGCGGGCGTCGTCGTCGGCGTCTTTTTGCGCGGCGAAGGCGTCGGTGCGCGTCCCGCTCGACTCGTTACGCACGTGTGAACGGAAATGTCGACGCTTAAACGCTCGCGTCCGGCCGAGTTTTAATTGCCTGCCGTTAGTTACTTCACTCTCCTCCCCGCGCTGTCGCGGCCACAAGTTATGAAATGTCGATGTAGACCGATGATATATATGTATATATATATATATATATATATATATATATATATATATACAGAAACTAAATATCATTCTACTGTAAGAAGTTGATAATTGCGGTTTAAAACAAAATGAAACAAGTTTTTATCAACCAAGTTTTTGTAGCATGTTTTCTTCCGCCCGATTTTTTTGTGGCCGGAACCGGTTTCTGGGTCTTTTTTCATTTCCTAATTTTCTTACATATTTTGAAATCGCTTGCGCTTTTAAATAGGATGTGTTTTTGATCTGTCGAATGTGCTACATGTTTCGCGAGTTCTTGTGTTTCGAACGTGTATCGATTTAAAATCGAATTAAATAAATTGTGAAACTTTTAAATATACAATCTGGAAATATCTATTTCTTTTGTTTATAATTATACATTTTTTTACTAACAAAAAAATACTTGTCAAACTATTCTCTTCATTTTAATTAAATATTATATATATATATATATATATAATATATATATATATACATATATATATATATATATCTTATTTTCACATTGGAAAGTACGAGTATATATACAAAAGAAATAAACATTTATTAAAAATATATTTTACAAAAAATATATAATTATCTTTTTTTTTAAACTGTAATTATATGATACTTTTTTACATATCTGCGGGAATTTTGTGTTTCCCCGAAAGCCGCAGCAGCTTCTCGTGGCTCTTCTGTCAATCCGTCACTCTGCGGACGCAAATCAGCAGCGGCGTGAAGAGTGTGCTTCACGCATGTATTTCTAAACATAGCGCGTAGTAACGCGAAGCGAGAGTGGGGCCCTGGATACGCGATTGGCGGTCGGTGCACGCGGATGAATAACGTGCCAGTCGAAATCGATGGCTAGCAAATTGGTGGGCGTCGCAAAAACCTCGCCTCGGCGGCATCACCGCGCGCCTCTCTTGTAATGAATTAATCGTGCGGTGGCCCTGCTGAGCAAAGCCGAGGAGATTCGGTCGAGAGAAAGCATCGACAAATTAGCGGCTAAAACTTTCACGCCTTGCTAAACTCGGAATTACTCGATCTCGTCTATTTTCTTATGATTTAAATCTCAAGTTTATATTAGCGCGCCAGAACTTTGAACGAGCAAAGCGAGGCTCTTCTTCCTGCGTGGCATTCATACGCGGAAAGCACGCGTGTCTTCGCACACATACGCGCCCGACCGCATGCATCGTCGCGTTCATTTCACGCGTAATTGCAATCGCGT